CATTACGTGATTTGTCACCACCTCTTTTGTGTCAGTTTCTTCGATTCCCTTTTCGTTTTGTTTTCTCGTTTCGTAGTTACTGTATGATTAGCCTTTAAAAATTTTTACAACGCTTAAATGCATTTTGGCGTATTCTATATTGATTTCATAGCCCTACGAATGACAAGACACGGTTTTAGTCACGCTTTCGTGACCGTGTCGCATGTCTGATATAAATAACCTTGAAAACCAATTTGTCCTATCAGATGTGATGAATATATGAAGTTCATATATTTTGAACTGCGGTTATAGATACGTATGATGCACGAACCTCGCAGTAGAGAGCACTATTTATGCAATAGCGAAAATCAGACCTGAAAGAAATTGATTCTCGCTATTGCATAAATAGCGCTCTCTACTGCGAGGATCGTGCATCATACGTATCTATAACCGCAGTTCTAAATATATGAACTTCATATATTCATCATATCTGATTTATATCATCACGGGTTTATTACGAATCAACTCAACGGCCTACTCCCAGTTGGCTTGTTAGCTCAATTGGTAGGGCGCTGCACTAGTATCGCAGAGGTCAGTGGTTCGAATCCCGTACAGGCCTGATTTTTTTCAGGTCTGATTTTCGCTATTGCATAAATAGCACTCTATACTCCGAGGATCTTGCATCATCCGTAATTTGTCCTATATTGGCCAACATGGGTTAAAAGCTTACTTTCTGACGCGCCCTGCCGTCTTTCTCTTTGAGTGAAGAGATACGCTCAAGTTTTTGTCGAAGGCCGTAGAGCGAGAGAGCAATCCTTCTTCTTGATGGTTTCTCAAAAAGGCTGTGGAAAATTGTAGTTTTATTTTTAAAATAAGTTCGCCCGAGGGTTTTTTGTCGCGCTATTAAACTAAGGACAAAGAATCAATTTTATCAAGCGTGTCTACCCGGCATGTGTAAGTCCTTATTGTTTTACCGTTAAACTTGCTTAGTAATTCAACTCGCGTTATTTCGCGTGGTAGCGTTGCAAGAAAAAAAACCGTTTACGCTTCTGCAATGGGGGAAGTAGAAAAACTTTGAACGAGCGAGTTCAACCAGAAGTTTCT